GCCACGAAAATGTAAGGCCCCCCCAGTGTCCCCCAACCCCCGCTGAAAAAATCCTAGCTACGCCACTGAGTGTGAGGCGACGCAGCGAGAGACAGGGTTAGGCAAGGCAGCAAGTTTTCCCTCCTACGTGGGATTTAAATTGACTCAATTGTCACAAGTTGTCCAACTGCATAAGTGTAGACAAGTTGGGTCTTACCTATTAGCGGACTTACGACCGATTACTCCGGTGCAACAATTACCACAATTTATGCTGTTATAGGTTATAAAACAGCAGATGAACAGCAAACGTGCGCCCGCCATCTTCAGATTCGCGATAATGAATTCTTCGAGTTTTCAAACACTTCCACAAAACGAGCGCACGTAGTTAATTGATGCAAATATTTACAGACCTATCTCGAAATTTATACATAGTAGGTAATTAATACATTATAGGTAATTAATTACCTATTGTAGAGATAAGGTTCCGGTCGCGAGACAGCAAAAATCACGTGCTAGGTTTGTTGACATATGTTGTATGTAACAAAATCTAATTAGAAATTCATATCGGGAGCACATACTGCTACAAAAAAATGAGGTGCGGCTGTTCTAAGACATGTAAGCCTTACTATATTATACATTAGGTGTTGTACAAGGAGTGCCAGTAGGTATCAGAACGGACGAGAAAATGTGAAAAAGGTTAGTAACAAACTTGTTAAATCCTCGTTTCAAATTCCCAACCCCCACAACCCCACAACCACCCCCCAAGCTGTAACCTCTACCCCGCGCACGCACGCTCACCTCTCTCATCCCCACCCACGCTAACAACCCCCCACCCCACTCCACCCGCCCCACACATCACCCCGCACCGCACACACCCGCTCACCTCTCTCATCCCCACCCATGCTAACAACCCCCCACCCCACCCCACCTGCCCCACACATCACCCCGCACCGCACACACCCACTCACCTCTCTCGGCGACGACCGTAAACGACGTGTAGTTGGACGTGTAGCCGTCGCCGCGACCCGCCACCCGCCGCAGCGGCGCCACCTGGCCGCGCGTCGGCAGGAAGCGAACGCCGCTGATTGGCTCGGCGACGGTGATGGCGTAGGGCAGGCGCGCCTCGACGGGGGCGGGGTCTGCGGGGCTGCGCGCTCGCACCTTGATCACGTAGATGCCGGCGAGGCCGTACGTGTGCTGCGCCTCGCTAGCCGTCGCGTTGCTGTGGAATTGCATTGCAATGATGAGCGATTAACACACGCACCAGCTGGAATCGCATGGCAATGACGCGCTTTGCTAGCCATCGCGTTGCTGTGGAATTGCATTGCAATGATGCACGATTAACACACGCATGCTGGAGTCGCGTACGATTCACGTTCATGCTAATGCTAATAACAATAGTGGTAATAATAATAATAATAATGATAATAAAAACAATTTAAATAATCTATAAAAATTCCGCCAACGATTTCAACAGATTAACACAATGTATAATAATAATAATAATAATAATAATAATAATAGTAATAATAATAAAATAGATCGACAAATAGACAGATAATAGAATAGATTATAATTTGATAGATACACAAGAAGTATGGAAAAAGCAACGTTGTAACGAAGCACGATCGCCATGACAACGCGCGCACACGTACCTCACTACGCGAGTGCGCGCGTGTCCAAACGGCTCGCCAAAGTCCCACGCGAACGCGACGTCCGTACCCGCGTCGATGGTCGCCACGGCGACGACGTCGCGCAGGATCGGCACGACGCGCGCGACCGTTGCCGTGACGACGAGTCCGGAGACGGGCTCCTCGACGACAATGGCGCGGTCGGCAACGACGCTGCTCACGCGGTTGTACGCGCGCACGCGGAGGGAGCGACTGCCCGCGCGCGAGAACGCATGACGCAGCGTGAACACACGCACGGCCGCCCGTCCCCGCTCCTCCTTGCCACTTGGGATGATCGTCGACTCCACCTCCTTTTCCTTCGCCTGCTCCTCCTCCTCCTTTGCTACTGCATCGCCTCCCGGGATGATCGTCGTCGACACCTCATCCTCCATCTTCTTCTCCTCCTCCTCCTCATCCTTCTCCTCCTCATCCTCCTTCTCCTCCTCCTCATCCTCCTCCTCCTTCTCCTCATCCTCCTTCTCCTCGCCACCCAGCAGAATCGTTGTCTCTCCCTCCTCTCCCTCCTCCTCGTCGCCGTACGTCGTCGTCACGGTGATAGGGTCGTTGCCGCCGCCGACGACCTCGACGACGACCTCGACGTCGCGACCCCGCAGCGCGGTTGCCGGGGCGACGACGCGCACCTCGACGATTGGTCGCTGCACGTGAACGATGGCGGTTGCCGGCGGCGACGGGGAGGAGCCGAGGGCATTCTCGCCGCTCACGGAGACGCGGAAGACTCCTGTCTCGTGGAACACGTGTGAAAACTGCAAGGTAATGTGAAGAAGAGAATGTTAAAGAGAAGCTAGGAGGGGTAAGGGAGGAGTAGGTCAAACACGTGCGAAACCTGCAAGAAGGAGAGAAGGTTAAAGGAGAAGCTAAGAGAGGAGTATGTCAAGGACAGGCTAGAAGGGGTAAGAGAGGAGTAGGTCAAACACGTGTGATAACTGCAAGAAAGAGGAGGTTTGTAAAGAGGAAGGTAAGAGGAGTGAGAGAGGAGTAGCTCCAACACGTGCAAAAACTGCAAGAAGGAGAGAAGATTAAAGGAGAAGCTAGGAGGGGTAAGGGAGGAGTAGGTTGAACACATGTGAAAACTGCAAGACAACACGGAGGAGTGCATGTGGCTTTCATACACAACCATATATAACTTCCATCATTTACACTACATGCTCTTACAACAGCCATCTATTCGGATCTCTATTGAAGAATATTAATTATCATAGCAAGCAGTTTAGCAAGATCTCTGATATTTGAAGCAGTAATTGCTGCCATGGCAGCTATTCAAAGTGGTGATGAAAAGTGAAGGCAAATGGCATCAATAATGTAGCTGCACTACTAGCTGGTTTTAGCACGCTCCGTATCTTAGCAACACAATGCTTGCCTGCTCTAATTATCGAATTTTAGAGATTGTCGTTAACGATAATGCAGACTATAAGAACGAGGCGAGACATCGATAGATCTTGCACGACTTTAGTGAGTGAAAATAAATTGGCTCTGCATGTATTTCTATGTAGAAAACACTATTGCAAGTAGGCACATAGACAAATGAGGAGGAATTGTGTAGTAAACGTGCGAATTCAACGCGTAGCAAAACACAGCAGAACAAGTAGTCAGGGTCCTTACGTAATTTCGTCCAATTTTTTTTGGAGAGATTCCGCATTTTTATAAAATATGTGATTCACTGATTGTGAAAACCAATGTTTACATTTTTTCCAACTCTGTATGGTGGCCATATTGGATTTCAAAATGATAGCCATTTTTGAACTTCTTTTTAAAGCTCTCGCTCTCATCGCCACGCAGCCCTAGCCATCACTCACCGTCAGGGTATTAGCCAGAAATGAGTATTGTGGGAGTGCAGAAAAAAATATTTGGAAGTGCAATTTTTTTATGTCTCAGCCAAGACCACCGTAGGCGTTCACGGGGGGGGGGAGAGTATGAGGAGTATGGGGAGGGGGTATAGGGGGCCTCCCCTAAAAAAAATTTATTTTTTTATTTTTTTTATTTTTTGGCCGTGCAGTTTTAAAACTGACCGTGCAAATCACGGCTACACGGCTCGCTGGCTAATACATTACTCACCGTGTTGTACGGAGACTGAGTGACGGTGCCGTTCACCGCCCACGTGTAGAGTATGTCTGAACCACTCTCCACCACGGCCTCCCATCGACTGTGTACCGGCGCACTGAAGCAAACAGAGGTACACGATGCACCACACTAATAGCACTCACAATACCTACTACTACATAGTAGTACTACAATATAGTACTATAATACTACTACATAGGCATTATAGTACTATAATACTACTACATAGGCAACATCGTACTATAATACTACTACATAGGCAATACAGTACTATAATACTACTACATAGGCAATATAGTACTATAATACTACTACATAAGCAATATCGTACTATAATACTACTACATAGGCAATACAGTACTATAATACTACTACATAGGCAATATAGTACTATAATACTATTACATAAGCAATATCGTACTATAATACTACTACATAGGCAATATAGTACTATAATACTACTACATAGGCAATATAGTACTCTAATACTACTACATAGGCAATATAGTACTATAATACTACATAGGCAATATAGTACTATAATACTACTACATAGGCAATATAGTACTATAATACTACTACATAGGCAATATAGTACTATAATACTACTACATAGGCAATATCGTACTATAATACTACTACATAGGCAATATAGTACTATAATACTACTACATAGGCAATATAGTACTATTATACTAATACATAGGCAATATCATATTATAATACTACTACATAGGCAATATAGCACTATAATACTACTACATAGGCAATACGTATATATTAATTAATGTTTAACATATCAATATATATTTAAAAGATTTATAAAAAATGATATATCATTAGAATATAAGATATGTAATTATTAACATTAATATAATTTATTATATTAGATTCTGAGATATTTTATTAAGTTTATAAAAAAATTTTAAATGTCAGCATACTGCTGACAAAAATCTTCTAAAACGATTATTTTTTACAAATTTATCTTCAAGATGAAGATGTGGATAGTGCCACGTACGTGTATACCATCACATCATCACATGATAAGCCAACACTAAACAACGTGAAACGTAATTCACACCCACTCCCCCAACCACACACGTATAATGCAGAAACCACAAACCCTAATTCGATCGAAATTCTCAAGACACGCTATATTTTATTAGGTTTATACGATTTTTTTAAAACCTCACCATCGTGAGAGTACATTTAAAAAAATATTTTTAAACTGATAAGCCAATACTAAATAGGCCGTGGCTACGCGTCCGGTTACCGAACGCCAAGATCCCAGGCTACTAATCAGAAGGTCATCCATTTCTTATGTGAACCCAACTATATTTTTTTTGTAAAAAAACACTAACAGTAATTTTTACCATATTATTACTTAAACGTGAAACGTATTATACCCAAAACGTGATTCACCCCACGCCCCCAACCAAATACACATAATGCAGAAACCACAAACCCTAATTCGATCGAAATTCTCGAGCTCTCACGTTTTCACCATATCCTACCTTCCCATCTCGACGGCCAACGGGCCGTGAATCTGCAGTCCCTCTATCGGAGCCTGTACGCTGACGACCGACGGCAGAGCAGCGGCGACGCCCTCTAGGTGTGCCGACAGTTCGTATATGCCGACGCTGTCGTAGACGTGACTGACGGTGTTCGTCGACGATGACGTCACCAGCGTGCCGTCACCGAAGCTGTACGTCACCGGACCGACGTCACCGCCGCTCGTCTGCGTGACAGATGCAGACGTGTGTTACGTTAAGCGTGCGTAATCCGGAAAAGTTAATAAAAAGGCTATTAAAATATGAAAATAAATAAATAAAAAATATTCATAATTAAAAAATACTCTTTTTTTTATAAAAGTATTAAAATCCGTAAATTTGAATTGCAACTCTATTCACTTCTCTAGCCACGGCAGGGTGCGACTGGGTCAGACCGGGAAAAATGTCGTGCACATGAACGGTTCGAAGCGACTTCGCATGATGTCGTATCATAATCCGCGTGTTTTGGTAAATTACATTTAACATTTAAATCGACATTTATCGAAATTAGCCTTTGCCGGATATATACATTTTCGCCCAAATCCTATATTTCTATTTCTATATCCAATATTTCTATACGCAAATCCTCGGTATCAGTCGGTGTGTCACACCGCGTTCGATTAATTCAGTAGCATTCTATTGATTTTTCACGTTTTTGGCCAGCTATTCGGGCTGTTGGAATAAGATACGCTTTTGCAGCTGTATACAGCCAAAAATCGTATTATATGGCCAGCAAGACACGGTACACGTACAAGTGGTGGTGAATTACATATCCAACGAACTGCGACTTACCTTTGTGCCTGGTTCCCGGAGCAAGCATTTAAGAGAGAAAGTCGTTATTCATAATGAAAGTGATTACATTACCGTAAATAGTAAAAGTAAAAAAAAAAATTCCCACTTTTTCACGAAATGTAAGTATAGTTCTGATCAATTTTTATGGTTAACTTAAATTGCTGCATTATACTTCCTATTTTACTATATTGTTCGATGTGAACATACACTCGTGACTCATACATAGCCCATAGCAAGCAATTAATGTCAGGATCATAATATCAAATCGTCCAGGGTTTTTGGATTTTTGACTAGTTGAGAAACAATCTTATCGGGTAACAATTTGAAGATACATTTAGTCCCGTTAGTACTTACTTTTAATGTGAAAAAATGACAACAATTTTTTTTAATATACACCAGAAAATTCGTGACGTAGTCAATTAAATGATGTCTAACGAGCACTAATTACGGGTGGCTGCGGAAGATGAGCGACATTTGAGATGCGTGTTTTTCAAACACAGAAAACACTAATTAAGGCTGATGGAAGAAAACATGACAGGCAATTGACAGCATGCATTTCAAATGCACGCACCATCAAAATGTCAGAATTTCAGATGAGGACATACAAGCAGAGTATCTGAGAAACAAATTATTTTTCGCATTTTAGTTGAACAGCCTATTAACATTTCATAGCATCGTTAACTCGCATTGCTGCTGATAATGGCATACAGCTTTTTATGCTTACACACATGCACGCACGCACGCACACAGGCACGCAGACGCATGCACACACGCATGCGCACAGGCACGCAGACGCACGCACACAGGCACGCAGACGCACGCACACACGCATGCGCACAGGCACGCAGACGCACGCACACAGGCACGCAGACGCATGCACACACGCACGCACACAGGCACGCAGACGCACGCACGCACACAGGCACGCAGACGCACGCACACACGCATGTGCACATAGGCACGCAGACGCACGCACACACGCATGTGTACATGCACGCACGCACGCACCAGGCACGCAGACGCACGCACACACGCATGCGCACATGCACGCACGCACGCACGCACACAGGCACGCAGACGCACGCACACACGCATACGCACATGCACGCACGCACGCACACAGGCACGCAGACGCACGCACACACGCATACGCACATGCACGCACGCACGCACACAGGCACGCAGACGCACGCACACACGCATACGCACATGCAC